CTTTTTAAAAAGAGTTATATAATATATTAAATTAATATAAGTTATTAATTAATAATAAAGTTAAGATATATAAAAGTTATTTAATAAAAAGTTTATTTTTTAAGTAAAAATAAATTTTAACTTATTAATAATCTATTTCTAGCTTTTATAGTATTTATCTAAGACTTAAGTAATTTACTTTATAGTTTTTAATATTCTTATAATGTAATTAATCTTAACTTATATAGTTTTAAATTTACGGACAGAACACGCGGGCGTGAGCAGTGACAGGCCGATGGTTAGCCCTGACTACCCCATTTAGAAAGGGGTCCATATCCTAGACTTTGCTATTAGGAGTAAAGTAAGGTGCTGAATTCCCGATATCGGCGGTTATCCTGATAGGGCGCGAGGGAAGGCGTGCGCTCTAGGCCAGATTCAGCTGCAATTGACACTTCTTAAAATGCTCTCGAGAATAGAAGGGCGCATATGACAAGACGGAAAAGACCGGCTAATGTCGGTGTAAGTGAATGATTGATTCGTTACGGAAAGGCATATAAGATCACTAACTGTCCCTGTCGCTTTAATCTATTTTAACCTATTAGTACTCACTAAAGTCTTCCACACAACCTAGTAATAAGCAGAGTGTTCCGCGAGAGTGTGAGAGATGCAATCTATTCAGCCGTTTCTGCTAGACGAGTGGCGTAAGTAAGAGCCCAAAAAATAACAGATCATGACTGCTAATATAACCTTGAAGTAAGGGAAAATGAAGTGAGTATATAAACCGCCTTTTACAAGCTATACCATTCTAAACAGGCATAGCCCAAATGCCATCTCTTTCTTCAAGGTAAGTTCTCTAACCAGTGATAAATAAAGATGGTGGCTTATGATTATTACCCAGGTTCATCTGCAGGATCCCATTCCATAGACAGTCTCAAGGGATTGACGCCTGACTCGACTCGAGATCCTATTGATCGGAGTTTGGCACTCACTTACGGAAAAAGTCTAGGCTTTGACAGCTTGCGAAAGCGCATTGCTGAACTTCACTCGTCGAAGGAAGTCACTCTAACGACTAGCAACGCAGTCATCACATCTGGCTCAATTTCCGCAAATTATCTTGCTCTGTCAACGGTCCTCAACAGTGGTGACCATGTCATCTGCCAATACCCGACCTACGGGCAAATTTATGAATTGCCGAAACATTTTGGCGTCGAGGTCAGCTTATGGAAGTCAACGGCTGAGAGAAATTGGATCCCGGACTTGAAGGATCTTGCGTCACTAGTGAGACCAAACACCAAAGCTATTCTCATCACGTAACGTAGCCTTCTACTAATTTTAAATGTTGAAGCTAACAAAAAATTATGCAGTAATCCATGCAACCCAACAGGGACAGTCTTACGGCGAGATATGCTGGACGGCATTATCACAGTGGCCAAGCAGCACCACCTGATTCTCTTTGCCGACGAGGTCTTTCGACCGCTTTTCCATTCTCCGAACGAAGAACATCCACCATCTGTGGTAGCAATGGGGTATCAGAAAACTATTTGTACTAGTTCCTTGTCCAAGGCACACGGTCTGTCAGGCATTAGAGTTGGCTGGGTGGTCAGCCCAGATCCACAGATTATGAAGCAAATTGTTGTGGCAAGGGACTACACTACAGTCAGCGTTTCGCAGCTTGACCAATGCGTCGCTATGTTTGCCCTCTCGCCTGAGGTTCTTCCTCGCTTGATGGATGTCAACCTAGAGCGGTGTGCGAAAGGAATAGCCTTGCTTGATGGCTTTGTTCGCGAGAACTCGAAGTGGTGCCAATGGGTCCCACCAGCTGGGGCTGGGGTAGGCTTCATTCGGATTTGTAAGGAGAACGGAGACCCAATTGATGATGCAGACTTCTGTGGGCGATTGGCAAGCGAGCGTGGAATTTGCGTGGTGCCAGCGGGCCATTCATTTACTGGTGATGACAAAGATGATCTTAAAGGTTATGTTCGACTTCCATTAGGGGACTGGCAAGAGCTAAAACAGGGCCTACCAGTGGTGGCTAGTTTCCTTGCTAGCTATATGGCTAAAACATAGATTATAGGCTGTGGCTGTAACATTCTAACTTTACTGTTATTGATAAGTGTGTGGACTTATATTGATGAGATTTTGGAATCCTTGGGATAAGTTATTTAATCCTCTGGTCGGCTAAAACGTTAGGATTAGCGATCCCATTAAGGGCTGCAGCTGAGTATCTAGCAGAAGAGCCTCATGAAATACTTCAGTAATCCTTGTCGACGTTGCCAATTATGGATATCCCTAGGCTCATTGTGAGCTATATGTATCAGTTGTAGTTTAGGCTCGTGGCCAAGAGCTTGAATCAGCAGACAGAACTTAGCAAGACTTGGGGCATGCTAACGACAGCGGCGAGCGATGGGCCAACAGGAACTGCAAAGTGTCTTGAGTTTGAGTATTACAGATGTCCTTTGTAGTATGTCTTGTACCAATACACGAGATTGGCAAGCTCTCTAAAGGGCTCGGCGCATTGCTAATACATCTCTATTGCGGTTTGCCCCGAAATCGTGGTTTGCGGTCCTCGAAGCCTGCGGAATCCCTGTTGACGCTCCTGCGGTTGCGGGATTCCGGCCCACGGACGTCAGCGATACGTTTGTGCTGTTGGCACAAAACATGCCGCCAGTATTCATTCTTTCTAAATATTATACCTTGTTTTGTTTAAGGGGCTCCTAACTCTAAGCTATTCATCCAATGCTTGCTTTACCCTAATATGTCGGAAGATCCCACTGCGTATGTATATAGTGCCCTGCTGCGTGGATTGTCTTACTGGTATGCAAATTCGGATAATATCGCCTTTTTGGGTCCCTCGCGAGCGTTTCTTATTGCTTGTCGAGTATGTAAAACGGCTGCTGCAGCTCTAAGCTATCCAGGCACGAAGCATGTAACTATCGCGTAAGCTTATCACGATAATTATTGGCCAACACAGCCATGGATCGACACGGCATGCCTTACACTGATTTGTTCTGACCGTCTCACTGATAGAAAAGCGTAAGATCAATTCTACTTATGAACCTGGTTAGGTCCGTCGTCCTGTTGTAACACGTATCACAAAAAGCACGGTGATAGAGCTCGGAGCTAAGAACACAGTTAGGAGGAATTTGGCTATTTGCCGACTATTGTCCATCTTCTTCCTCTGGGATCTCTAATTCCGAACCTCCTATATTTACCGTCAATGTCATAGTAAACTCTATAGCTAAGATTTTGGCCGCCCCGTCATCAATTGACAATTACCCCCGACAACTCAAGCCGGCAGCTGCCATCAGCCCTTTCCGAGACTAACTTAAGCTGCCTGTGATTGATGGGTAGAGATATATACGATAACAATAATTGAGAATATACGGGTCTCTAGGAACTGGGAATTATCCTCCAATTACCTCGCAGCAAGTGTCTGTGACAGGCCGGGGTTTTCATTTCCTAAGAAGCTTATTTCTAAGTAACTAATTTAGCTTGTTTCAGACAGGATAGAAATTGTGTTTAGACTTGAACCTTACTCTATTTGTCTGCTGATTTCAAAATTTAGTAATTTAATTTTACGAGCTTTATAAACTTAAAATGGATTTATAAATCATCTCATCAATCCAACAAGCCTCTCTCTGCGGCAGCTTTAGCAATATTACACACAGCACCGACCAAATTCCAAAGATCCCATCGTCAATCGCAAATATGAACCCCAAGTATCTGCTTTTTCTTCCCCTGGGGTTTGTCTGCGCCAACCCAATCGAAGCCCGCGGCAAAAACAATGGCTGCCCTGCTGCAAATGGCGGATGCAGTGGCGTGAGTTAAGTCTATCGAGATGCCACCTATTATCCTAACACCCGAATAGACCTGCATTCACACCGGAGGCGGAGACTATTGTCGAACACAGTCAAAGGATACTACATACGACTTCCCCTGTGGAAGAGTATTCAATGGCAATAGCCAGCAACTTACTTCTGTCTGTACCCTGGTCCAACCACAGTAGACAATACTAACTGGCTATAGTGCGGAGGAAAATCTGGTGGATCTTGCACTGCATATGGAGATTACGAGACGTTCTGCCCATACTGGGCTTAGGATTGATATTTCTCTGGAAAGGGTGTAGGAAGCTTCTTGCCATAGGAATCGCCTTCACGTTTGGTAAGGTATACTTCTCTCAAGAGAGGACATCTGGCCATTAAGAGCCATACTCAGACGGGGAGCTCCAAGGATTTCATTCTGTAGATCATCAGTAATCTAGCATTAATAGCTTCTGTGAACACTGAGACTGTATTTGCCTTGTGGCAGTCATGATAGTGGCAGTCTCGGATTTAACGATAGAATTGAACTAGTTCATGGGCTATTCAATGAGGCCCACGCGGCAAATATAGGTACGGGTTAGATATTTACTCCAGCGCCAGGTTTCTTGATATCCAGGTTCCGCAGCTACCTCCATAACTTAGGCTCTAGACAATTCTGCCACATGGGATCCCGCATGATATCTTCTTAACGTTTCACTTCAGGCTTATGAATAAGCCGACCAGAGACATTAAGTTTTGCAAAAACACAGGGAAATAAAATCCACGGGTCAGAATTTAGGAGTATATATAGGGTATTATTTAGATTAGACTAAAAAGAAAATAAAGACTACATAAGAGAAACCTAAGGCAAATAAAATGTAAGTATAAAAGCTAGAAAAAAGTAAAATATATGAGATAAGCAAGCCAGATAGAATGTAAGTATAATTCCAATCTGTAACAGGGGTTGTATTCCGAGTTGACTCTGGCTCAGGCCTGACGCTAGTTGCTATATTCCTTGGACCTAACTCTGGCTGAGATTTGGCGCTATTGGGTGTACTCCTCGGAGTTGACTCTGGCTGAGAACTGGAGCCAATCGGGCTCTCAACTGGTGTGGTCTGTTGCTCGGGTCGCGATGGCGACTGTTTGAAGGTTTCAACCCTGCTCTTTACTGGCCTTGCCGGCTTTACCCCAACGCGACCCGTCTGAAACTCCAAGGGTGTAAGCCGGACACATTGATTAACATGCTCATGCTTTGAGTTGCTAAATCGGGTGTCGCACCTCCAGAGGTCTGCAAGAAATCGCCCAGGATGGGGGATATTTGCCATTTCACCTTGTGGCAGAGTGACTATGAACTCCGGTTTCAAAACATTACAAACAGCTGCGGCCCAGTTATCGTAGTACTGGAGATTATAACGGGCTGGGTCGTCTCGATGCTGATGTGGTGCTACTGCTACTACCTGTAGTGGTGTAGTAATTAGAACATTCTGAGAATAGGCTCCACGGGATTGGGGTGTTGGCTTCACTGTATGCTAAAAGAATATCAGATAAGACGGACTATAATGTTTTTGTTGAATGGATGACCAACCTCATATATGGTCCCAAGGATCGGTCGCTCAAAAATCTTATCACGTTCCATGTGATAAGGCGGATACACCGAGACACGGCCAACATAATCGATCGACTGATCCGATTCGAACAGGATACCCAATTCCCTAAGGAGCATACAGACAGGATCATCCCCAAGCCACCTGGGAGGCCCCTCGATGATAATAACAATGTTTTGCCAAGGAGATACAACCTGCTGTGCGAGTGCTGAAACAGAATGGGAAATGAAGTTCCACCGAGATTTGAATTCACCAGGCAACGTAAAGCGATCCACAGGGATATAGAATGCGATCTTGATCCGTCTGGGTGGTTGGAAGCGGCTGGGCCGAAGAATGTCCTGAAAGGCGAATTCACGTCCGGGGAACGTCAATGCCGTAAAACGAGTCGTGCAAGATTCAACGTCGGACTCGTCAGCAAAAGGGTCTGGTCCGTCCTGTGGCATACCCCAATCAAAACTCAGACTAAAGGCATCAAAGAATTCTGAAGGTACTGTAGACGGGGATGGGGGACGTTGCTCTGTCATGACTGCTGCTCGGCGCCGTCGTCTCAAGCATATGTCTTGCCATTCTCCCTCCATCCCCGTATAGTAAGTTTCCACGTTTGTGATGCACTCCCACACCGAAAGTCCGTCTTTTTCGGCCACTCGATACTCAGAATGATTCTTGTGAACATTGAACGACGCGAAATCCGTGGAAAAGTCCGAATCTGAAATGTGAGCAGAGCCCGTACCTTCTTCGATTTCAATAACAGGAAAATCCGAATCGGAAATGTGAGCAGAGCCTGCACCTTCTTCGATTTCAATAATAGGAGATGGGGCCCGTGTACTAGAACTTCTCCAATCAATAGATGCTCCGTCTAAGGCGTTCTCCGTGTATGTCGTCATGTCTTCCAAAAAGCTCTGCAGGATATAGTCATCTCGATTTGGTAGCCGTGCCTGGAGTTGACTGATCTCTTCTAGAATTTGAGCCGTACTATCCTTTATAGCTGATGTATCATTCCGGATCTCTGTTGTGTCTATTCTTATTGCTTTAGCTGTATGCCTAGATGAGTCAGCATATAAGGTTACGTCTTCGAGGCGTGGATCAGCCTTACAGCGCAAGCATATCAAGAGCCAATTCGAGTGCCGCTTTGTGAGCCTCTAAATTTGACCGCAATTTCGCGACATCTCCTTGGCCACTGATAGCCCATGCAGCCCTTGTCCCTAGTCGATTGTTGGAATATTTTGTAAGAGTAGAGCTAATTGTACCAATAAATAGCTCTATTTATACTAACAAGGCCACGTAACTGCAATTTCCTCTTTAACTTTTAAGGGATATTTAACCTTTTCCCTCCTTTATATATAAATCTTTATACAAATCAAAGAGTTATAATAATTAAAAAATAAGGCTAAAAAGTTAAAAAGTTAGTCTATTTAATTAATCTAAAAACAGGCTATTAAGGCCACGGTAGCTACAGTAGCCCTGCTGCCTAATTAACTAACGGTTCCCTGTAACACTATATTACTACTAAAACCTGAACTTTATAATAATTATAATAAAGATTATAATAAGACCTTATCTTATAAGAGGCTTCAGGCGCTTAACTTTGCAGTCAGTCAGTCGGTCAGTCAGTCAGTCGGTCAGTCAGTTAAGAGGCTTAAAATAAAGCTATCGCAAAGGGCCTTCTAGCTATATAGGCAAAGGCTGCTTAGTATTAATAAAAAAACGCGTTATTAAGGCTATTACAAAATTAACCCTATAAAATTAGAAATTAGCCAGAAGAAGGTTATTGCAGCCGGCGCTAAACCGAATTGGGATTATATGTGGGTCTGTTAGTACAAATAGAGCTATTTGTTGGTACAATTAGCTCTACTCTTTTGTAATACAGCCTTGTAACTCGAGGACGACTGAATGACAGTTGGCCAAAATACCTGAAACATGATACGCAAGAGTGTCAGGAAACGATCTATCCTCGTCAATCGCATCTTTAATGAGTTCAAGGACTGTCTGCAGCGAGAGGAGCTCTCGTGCTACTCGATCTAGGTCACTACGAGCTTCACGACAGGTTCGCACAAAGCTGTTAATGGATAAAGAAAGCGTGCCGATAGTCGAGATGAGACCCATACAGCCTGTGGTTATCGACAAAGGATCCATGTTTGATACGAGATGTTTATTATTAATTTACTCGAAGCTGTGAGATTCCTGAATGAGGGGTATTGGCATTAGTTTTCAGCTGACAAGATTGCCATAACGCCTGATTGGCTGCGGGGCTATCAGGCGTGATCCACTAACCTATCTTAAGATGCTTTTATCTAAGATACGAGTTATTATTAGCAACACTTCCTTTTCACAATTTAATCTTACGCAATTCAGCCGTACTCTTGACCCACCGAAAGTCCATCTTAAGATTTCTATCTCACCATGCACGATCCCTTCACACCCTAGTCTCATACTCACTTTAGCACAATTAGCAACTCATTATACTCACACATAGATCATTCTCCGAAACGCAATAGCGCTTGACTTTTAACTGTTTTCGTTTTCTTTTCATCCACTTTCTCGCCTATATAGGTAATCGAAGTGCTGGATTTGAGCTCGATTATTGAGTATAGCAATTAATAAGAGACATCACCGTAAAGTCCACGTGGAACTCTTAATTCGACTTTGTCGTGAAATCTGAGAGCGAAGATAACAGTCGGGTCGTGGTGCACTGTCTGACTGTCTATAGGCTTTCCCGAGGTAAATAAATCCAACGATAGAAATACTAGTGGGTACTGAGATCGTCCAATCAACAGCCGCCTTCATGCAGGAAAACACGAACCCCGCTTTTGGGTTTCGCTGGGCAAATTGTTCTATTTACATAGCGCAGTGCCATTTTCATCTAATATGGGGAGTTCCATTCGAGATACCGGAATCTCTATAGCTTATGAACCTGAAGACAGCTCTCCAGTTGTTGAGTACGTCTATTCGCTCTCATGGCGCCTCCGGTTCTTTGTATTGACTGATCAGCATCCTCTTCGTACATGGCCTCGGTGGTCATCCTCGGAAAACATGGACCAGTTCCAAAAGGGTCGCTAGCACACCCGAGCTGTCATCAGCCTCTGAGTCCTTAAGGAAGAACCTAAGGAAGAATTCCCACAAGAGTGCCCTCGGCCGCGCTCTGAGTCAACTTCATCGAATGACTCGGAACACAGCCGCAGAAGCTAGGCCTGAGACATTGCACGACGATGCCAACCCTGCCGTGGTGTTTTGGCCTGTCGACCTTCTCTCCAGAGACTTCCCGGACTCGCGCATTCTCGTGTTTGGGTATGATAGCAAGATAACTAAATACTCGGCTGGCGCAGTCAGTGAGAATAGCGTCTTCTCACATGCTAAAGATCTTCTTTTTGCGCTTGCCAAGGAGAGACCCCTTCATCGTCCTCTGATATGTGTAGCTCATAGCCTGGGCGGCATTATTTTCAAGGAGGTATGTCAATTGGTAGGATTTAGTGTCAACCACTAATCCATCCTCCAGATGCTTTCGAGGTCTTCATCATCCACACAATATAAGTATCAAAATATTCTTCAGTCAGTCGAGGCAGTTATCTTCCTTGGCACACCACACCGCGGTAGTGTAGACATTGCCACTAAGGGGGAAGTAGCTCGTTCGCTGCTCAGTGCCTTAGGAGTATCCACGACTCCAGTCATTCTGGACTCTCTCGGCCTGAAGAACACAGATCTAGAGAGAGCACAGGAGGAGTTTTCCCGACTTTGGCATACGAGTAACTTTCGGGTCAAGACTTTCCAAGAAGGGCTTATTCACCCCAAGTTAGGAAAGAAGGTTGTTCCTGAATACTCGTCTCTCATTGGAAATCATCAGGAACATGCAGAGACGCTGCAAGCTGATCATTTAGAGATGTGTCGGTTCTCAGGGAAGGACGATCCAAATTATCGCAAAGTCGCTGGCGAGATCCGTTCTACCTACCTTTCGATTACGACATCCAACAGGCAAGAATCAATTGGACACCGGGGAGAAAACAACTACAGCCCTGTATCGAGTATTGATATACCTCAATATCTGAGGGATAATTTCCATAAACAAGGCAGTAAACTATGTCTCCAGTCATTGTGGTTTCCAGCTATCAATAGACGGTACGAGACTTTGGGTGCCCCAGCTGAGCAGACATGTCATTGGCTTTTGGATAATGAGAACTTCCGGGATTGGCTTAGCGGAAGAGATCAGGAAAGGCATCAAGGACTTATCTGGATAAAAGGGAAACCAGGCTCCGGAAAGTCAATGCTGATGGGAGAAGCGTTCCGTCGAGCAGCCCAAAGGCAAGAAAAAGCACCAGCCCCGTCTCAAACAGCGGCTTTCTTCTTCAACGGCAAAGGTGATGACCTTGAGCACTCGGTCGTCGGCCTTTTTCGGTCCTTGATTTACCAGCTTTGCTCCAAATATCCCCCTTTCCTGCAGTGTTTCCAAGATGTTTGGGATGCAAAGGTCACGACTGGTTGCTTCATGGGGTCAGAGGCTATTGGTTGGCAAGAAGCTGAACTCAAGGCAGTCTTTGAAATGATGATACTCCAGAAACGAAGCAATAAAGTATTGCTCTTCGTCGATGCTTTGGATGAGTGTGAGTCAAGTAGTGTGCGAAATCTAGCCTACTTCTGGAGAAAGATCACAAAGTCAGCTTTCGCTTCGGAGATCGATCTGAAAGTCTGTCTATCAAGTCGGCATTCCCCCTCCGTCACTGTGAGTGATTGCCCAGAAATCATCATGGAACAACACAACAGTCAGGATATCTCGACATATCTGAAGCAGAGAATCGAGATCGGAATTGGCATTCAAAACCCACAATGGCACATTTTGGAAGCGAAGATTAGGGAAATGTCAGATGGCATGTTTCTCTGGGTAGTCCTGGTGGTTGATGACTTACTTCGAAGCTGGGATGAAGGCAGGAGTCTCGAATACCTGACGAAGCGTGTTGCAAATACCCCGCAAGCCCTCGAGACTCTGTTCTCGGAGATGTTCTCTCATATCACACCCGAAGGGAAGAATGTCGCCGTTAAACTGTTCCAATGGGCTACCTTATCCACAAAACCACTTCGTCTTCACGAGTGGCATCACATAATGGGGTTTATCAGGCATCCCACGCCAACTTCGCTTGCTGAATGGCGAGCATCAGAATACTTTACAGCAACCGACGAGCAGCTGGTGAAACAAATCAAAACTGTTTCTCTGGGACTGGTCGAGGTGACAGGAGCAACCAAGATCCCGCCGCATGACTCAGGCTCTGACATATCCTCAGTGGGCGTAGACGCAGGATCCTTGATGCACGAATACGGTGGTACTAGGATCGTACAGGTGATCCACGAGTCAGTACGGGACTTCTTCTTGAGGGGCAATGGGTTCTCGGTGCTAGACTCGAGTTTGTTAACCCATCCTATTAGTAGTGGACACTTATCTATCATGGCCACTTGTTTGGACTATGTGAACATTGATGAGCTCGATGCCCTGGTAGCGGCACGACAACGGGTTACCCACAAAGGAAAGGGGAAACCCGAGGCAAAGAGCCCAATGTCATTAACTGAGTCGAACGGTGACTGCTCTCTGTCTGTTTGCTCTCTCGAACATGAGGGACATCCCCCACAAGGCACGATCAGCGTACCTCTACGTCCAAGGAAGACGCCAGAAGATGATAAAGGGTCAGAACAAATCATAACAGACTTTTCTGAGTCATACAAGTTCATGGCTATACGTCGATGGCTGGAAGAGAGCAGTAATTCAACTGCTGAATCGGAGTTGTTGATCGATGTTCCGCAAGCTCCATTCTCGGATGTCCCTGACACCGTTCACTCCCAGATTCTAGAGGACCATCCTGCGCTGCTCTCGTATGCTGCATTCGCAATGTTTGAACACGCTCGCCTAGCACAAATTGACGGGGCTGACATAACTCCAATTCTTGATCGTCTTAACGACGAATCAGTGTGGGCTCGTTGGAAATCCTTAAGAGAGGATGTACCGGAGGCAGTAAAACTGCTTGATTTCTTTGATGACTTAGGCCTTGTCTCATGGATCAGCGCTTTTCACGATCGATTTAGTCACGGTCAAGAGAGACGAAGGAGTTCTTCTCCATCAGAAATTGGTACTCGCAGACGCAGTCTTTCTTCAAATCATCAACTATCGGGGGATGATAAACCAAGGAGTGCTTTTCATAGGCCGATTTCATTACCACAAGTTGAATCTCAAGAACGCCCTCCTCCATTGGGTTCCCCAAACTGGCCAGGTGAGAGCCCCCAAAGTTTTATCCGCGTACCTAGAAGACAAGGCAGTATTGCCAGCTTTGGCTCTGCTAGTAGCCACGATGGATACGGCCGACAAACCCTAAGTTCGAACTCTGGGGCCGCTTTTATTACCACAAGTTAAATCTCAAGAACACCCTCCTCCGTTCGGGCCCCCAAGATGGCGAGGTGAGAGCCCCCAAAGTCTTAACCGCGTACCTAGAAGACAAGGCAGTATCGCCAGCTTTGGCTCTGCTAATAGCCACGTTGGATACGGCAAACATTCCCCAAAGTTCGAGTCTCTGAGGCCGGTTGTTTCCAAAGACTTAAGAACGGGAAAGGTTACAGGATTCTTTATGTGTGAATGCTGTCCCAAGAAGCCGAAAAGGTTTGATACAGTAGAAGAACTCAAGTAAGTACCTTCATAATACAGGCATTGTCTTTGTTAACAGTAATGATAGGGCACATGAGGCTAAGAAGCCATACGAATGCTCATTTTGCGGAAACCGATTTAAGAATAAGAATGAGGCAGAAAGACATCAGAACTCGCTCCATATGAGACGTCAATCTTGGTCCTGTTCATACTTACTAGGATACGATAGCGCCTTTCATGAGTCCAGTGAGCGACCCGAAAAGTGTGACGCATGCGGATATTGTGGCGATTACTTCCTACGTTCTGGTACGGAGGCTGGGAGCAAGGCCCAGGCTACCGAACAAGACTGGGATGAACGTATAAGACACCTGCAGGAGATCCACAACTTTGGGGAGTGTAACAGTATGAAGAAGTTTTATCGAGAGGATCACTTTCGGCAGCATTTAAAACATAGTCATAGGGGTACTCGCGGGGAGTGGATGGATATATTAGTGGTGTTATGCTGTAAGAAGGAAGAGGATTAGATTGACAGTAGGGGCTATTCAATATATGTGGCTAGGAGCGTTTTGCGGTGCTAGGTTCGATTCATTCGCCTAGGCGGACGGTCTGACTCCTACGTCGGCCTTGGGCAGACTTATACTCGGTGCTCTTCTGCTTGTGGCTAAGATGCTCTAGAAAGCTGTTGGGATGAATCTAGCGGCTCTAAGAACGGTAAAGATATCGACTAGTAAAAGAAATGACAAAACCCGAAGGAGGCACAAAAGGCCCCCCCATTCGAAGTAAGTTTGCAAGTTGCAGCAAGCCTTGCCACCGCAAAACGCGAGTCTTGTCAGTTTCCCAAGGAATTACAAACCCCGAATATGTCTCTGATATCATCTCCTGAACAAGCACAGCTACCAGGAGTACAATCCGTCGCAATAACAACGGCGACAAGAGCCCCGAGCATAATCGTATGTTATTTGAAGAAGCAGTCTTATAGAAAAGTCATTTTATAACTAATTTTCTCAAGTTGAGTGGGTGAAGACATTGCTAACTTGGCGTAACCATGACCTGAACTGAGTTTATTTAGGTTTACCTCAAAGTATTCAGCTCCCAGTATTGCTAAGGTATCCATATAGAGTACATGAGATTGACTCAGATGTCTACCACAGCAGCTTTCGACAAGCATCGCCTGTCGATCACTGCTTGTTCTAAAGCTCAGGTCCATGTACCTGGGGGTATTCTGGCCCAAGGAGTTAATTTTTGATGTCGATCCAAGTTAAAATCCCTTGGCAAAAAATGCTATGTTCGTCAATAAGTGGATCATTGATTGTAATGTGTTACGCCACGTATACCATGTTTCTACATGGAGCCTTATATTTATAGATCTATTAAGTTAACTTTGGTCCTGCTATTATATTAAACCTAAAGTGTATTTTCTAACCTTATAACTAACTTATAAACTTAACTCCGCTACTACCTTCTAATTACCCTAAACCTTCTTTTTAATTTTCTTTTTTAATTACTTTAATATATATATTATTATAAAACTTTCTTTAGGTTGAGCTTTTTTTATATATTAGTATTTCTTAATAATTCTAATAACTATATATTATACCTAGAAGTTTTTCTTAGTAAATTACCTTTTATATATTAAATATAAATATAATTTAAGCTTAATTTCCTTTAAGTAGCTTTATAGCCTTTATATTAAAAACCTTTATAGCTTAATATAAAACCTTTATTTAATAAAAACCTAGCCTTAAATATAACT